GTCAAGGGTTGTATATCCAGCCACATGATCCTTTAAAAGTATCCAGGCTCTGGGAAGAGGTCAATCTTTTAGATATTCAAGAAATCAGGTAATAATGTAATTACGGAACTTTCTAGAAGAGGACAAACTTCAAGCAACCAGTATTTGATAGGAAACACTGGCAGAAAAGCTGAGCAGTGTAGGACTAAGACAAAAAGAAAGTTGAGAACAAGAACATAAGAGTAATATATAAATGTTATATATTCCAGTGAAGCAGAAATAATGCAACTAAAAAGCCTACAGGAAACAAGAAAAAAAGAAAGAAAGAATAAGGTCAGAGAGAGCCATAGAATAGTCTAAAGAAGGTCACTAAAAGCTGAAACATCAAATGAAAGGTTAAATAAGGAAATGAGCAACTAAGGCCAGTATAAAACACATTACTGTAAAAGTTAACTACTAGAACAAAAACATCAATATTTTCTAATTGGCTGCCTCCAAACAAACAAACAAACAACCAAACAAAAAAAAACACATGTTCAAACAAAATGATTCTGTAAAAATGATACATTCATGAAATGTAACAAAATGACAGATATGAGACCAAACAGGAGTCATGTTAGTAAATGTGAATGGGCTTATCTCACCAATTAATAAAATGACTTTAAACTGAGTCACAAACAAATCCCAAATCTCTGCTGCAAAGTGGAAACACACTGACAGAATATGACTCAAAAAGCTAAAAACAAAGGAATGGGCAATATTATTCCAGTAAAAGGGAAACAATAATCTAGTTATCAGGAAGGACAAAAAGAAAAGAAAAACAAAACACTTTGCAAGGCTAACACCCACAACTCTGAGTGTACAAATAACAGTGAGGAGTACTGAAAGACCAGACAAAACTCAGAGAAGCAAAACTCAGAGAAGCAAGGAAAAAAATAAAACACACTGATACAAAAAAGAGTATTTCAAGAAAGATCAGAAAGTACAATGTCAGGGTATAGAAGAGGCAATGACAAACAATCAGGAAGACATGTATTATCACCCATCACAATATTCTCATATGAAAACTTTTAATACAAAATACACTTGCATCTCAAGGATGCACAAAACATTAAGAAAAAAAACCTGATAAAGGTAACACACTCAGGGAACAATGCACTAAAACTAGAACTTAGGAAGAACAAACTTCTTCCATCAGGACTTCAAAACCAAACAACTGTCTAGTAAACTGCTCTGTTTCTTTTAAAAAAATTTTTTTTTAATGTTTGTTTATTTTTGAGACAATAGGAGACACAGCGCGAGTGAGGTAGGGGCAGAGAGAGAGGGAGACACAGAATCTGAAACAGGGTACAGGGTCTGAGCTGTCAGCATAGAGCCCAATGCGGGGCTCGAACCCACGAACCGTGAGATCATCACCTGAGCTGAAGTCAGACACTTAACCGACTGAGCCACCCAGGTGCCCCTAAACTGCTCTGTTTCTTAAGGAAACACAGACGAAAGCTGAATTGCTAAACCAAAAAAAACACTGAAAATATTACTTATGAGTCTATGTGGAATACACGTACCGATCAGAGATTTCATAGCATTACATGTATCAGCGAAAAGGAATGAAAAACAACTGAATCCTTGACCCCCCCCCAAAAAAAAGTACAAAAAGGCAACAATAATGTAAAAGAAAGAAGTAGAAACCACAAGGAGGGAAATAAT